CTGTTACCAGTAATTCTGTGAGATTCACCACTCCTGTATGTGTCTTCGTTAAATTAGGATTTAGCCTGATGATTGTAGTACTGTAAGCACAATTACTACTTAGACCCTACAAGATACTACCTAAACAGCTTAAATTCACAATTAAAAAAACACAGGTAATAGGTATTTTCACCACTAAATGACGATCAGCAACAAACGTACCTGAGATGCCCGAAAATATGCCTCTGAGGTTTTCTTTATCTTCTTCTTTCGCAAAGAGTTTCAAAGAGACTTCCAGTAGGCCATTATTGACCGCAATCTTCTGGGCCGCCTCATTGTTTTGGACGATGTTCGCCAAGAGGTTTCCGGTCTGGCAGTAGAGAGGACTCGGTGGTTGCTCGAAAAGGGTAGCAAGAAGCTCAAGGCCGCCAATTTTCAGAAAGATATCAGCCAGGTTTATATCTTCAGTTAAGTCTATCAGATTTTCGAGTGACTGGGTGATCTTGGCCCTGGCCCCTTCATCGGTTTGATTAAGGTTCTCGATAATAACGGCGATGCTTTTACGCATCTCGTCAACGAGGTCTACTGTCATGTTTTCCAATGCTTCACGTAGCCATCTCGCCGTCTGTTTAAAAAAAACAAAGATGAACAATTTCACGTATATTTATTAATAACTTTCTACTACCCACTACTTAAATAGTATGACTATAACGTTAACTTTGGCATTGGGTTACTCACCGCAATGCGTCAAAATACACTGAATATTTAACTACGGAATGAGTGAATGGGTACCTACCTCAGGATCCATCGGTTGGGCATTTGACTCAAAGTCAGAGCCGGCTCTCATGCAGAAACTAAACAAACCCCGAAGATTGTGCGGGACGCGATCCATTGGTAATAGGCTATAAGTAATCAAAGGTGCAACAATATGGATGTTTGAAAGGGTTCTTTGATTGCAAAATATGGGGGCAAGTCTAACTATAAGATACATTCGTAGGTTTCAAACATTCTCATCAGGGACTTCAGAAGAGTAGTTGGCGAGCATACGTAGGCTTTCGATAAATCCGCCTCGCGCCATTAAACTTATATGGGAAGGACGTAAAGGTACAAGGTAAACATGCGGCCACTTACGTTCATAATT